ACGTTGGCAAACTAGAGTGGAATGATGATAGTCAATCTCAGGCAGCAAAAACTTACAGGGGACAATGATGGACAGTTCCTGGTAACAGCAGCTGGTGTATAATGATGATAGTCCGTCCCTAGTAACCGCAGCTTGGGTAAGGCAATGATAAACAATGGTAGACAATGGTAGTCAATCTCTGATAACAGAAACTTGCCTAAGACAATGTTAGTCAGTCTCTAGTAACAGCGACTTGCCCAGAGCAATGGTAGTCAGTCTCTAGTAACAGCAGCTTGCTTAGAATGATGTTAGCCAGTCTCTAGTAACAGCAACTTCCTTTCGTCCCGCCTGCTCCACTTGACGTCCAGCAAAACAGGACAGAGTCCAAGGCAAGGCAGGTCCGAAGGGGGAGTCCTCAGGGCCAGGGCAAGCCAAGAACAGTCCTCAAAACAAGGCAAAAGCAATCCTCGAAGCCATCCACATCCCAACAGCCTGTGAAGGTTTGTGTCCCTTTAAAGTAATAAGACCTCAGAGGATTCTTCATTCTTGCAGCTAGGCCTCTCCTTGCCAGCCCACTTCTTCTTCTGAGGCCTCTTGTGCGGCCAGACCTGCATTTTATAAGACCCCTGAAAAGAAGAATTGTTACAAAATACTGTCTTTAGTGGTGCCTTGATAAATTGGAAACGTATTGGATTATAAAAACCATATATAAAGATAAGAACTACATAAGACTTGGTTGTTTGGATTTTAAGATGGGCTGGTTTGATAAAGCTAATTAAAGAGACTATGGTACCGGTTAAAAACTACTCAAAAGAACTTTTACTGAGAAACAGTGGTTGCAGTAAAATCAAGTGGAATCTTAACATTCCTGCACAAAGCACCAAGCTATTCTTCCCACTTTGAAACCCAACCGCCCTGATCAGTCCACCAGCAGCCAATACAGTGCCTCAAGGTTGTTTTGAGAATGCTGAGGTACAGGATAGATAATGGGTCATCTTCAGGGTGCAGTGACCTTGAAAGCAGGCTGGAACCAGCTGGGAGGGAGTCTGTTCCATCTCCAAAGATGATCCCGCTCCCTAATTCCCATGCGGTTACGGCACAAGCAAAAGAATGCTCCCCCGGAATGTCCTCCTCCCCCCTTCACCAGAATGGCAGAGCAACCAAAAAGAGGATCTGACATGCTGCCACCCCAAAAGAGAATTTAAACCTGCAGAACATATGGGAGAGAAAAGAAGATTAAAACAGTCATTTAGGTTTGTCAGGATATTGATTATAAAAACGTTTCACTAATCTAGGGGCTCTAACATGTCGATGATCCACTCACTTATTCTGGCCAGGATAAAAGTCATTCCATGCCACTAAATATTGGAGATTCCCCCTATGCTTGCAGGAATCCAAAATCTCCTTCACCTCAAAGTGTTATTCATCCTCTATCAATAATGGTTCAGGGACACCTTAAGGGCTGAAGAAACCTTGGGTTTTAGTAAACTGCCATGAAAAACCGGATGGACCTGGTGAAGTGACTTTGGCAAGTCTAATTCCACCATGACAGGGTTGATAAGGCATTTGATGGGGAAAAGCCCCACAAACGAAGGTCCCAATTTCGTAAAGGGTTGAAGTGACTGTAAATAATGGGTGGATAGATAAATACGGTCTCTCACTTTAAAATGTTTTGGCTCAGTTCTTTTTTTCTCAGCTTGTGCTTCATAAGCATTGCAAGCTTCAGCAAGGGCTTTTCATACCTGGATGTTTTGTAGTTGGGAGATTGATTCCTTCAGGGACAGCACCCCAGGGTCGTTAATGGGGAGCTCAGGCACAGGTTTAAAATCTTGACCAGAGCTACTTGGAAAGGAGTAAACCAGTACTGCTGTGTACGGAGTTATTGTATCCCACTTCTGTAAATGGCAAGAGGTCACTCCAATTATCTTGTTGATAATTAATAAAGCATCTAAGATATTGTTCCAATACTGAGTTCATTCGTTCACAAACCCCATTCATTTGGGGCTGATGACTGGAACTAAGTCCTTGGTCAGTGCCTAGTAAGTCTAGGAAGGTTCGTCAAAACTTGAATGTGAATTGCACCCTCCTATCTGAAATGATGCGCTGGAGTGCTCCGTGTAGTCTATATATATGATGCAGGAATAGTTTTGCAAGACCTCATGCAGATGGGATCTTTTGACAAGGGATAATATGAACTCGCTTGGAGAATAAGTCAGTCACCACCCAAGTTACTGTATTTCCTGTGCTTTCGGGGAGTTCCACAATAAAGTCCATAGAAATCTCTCTCTAAGGTGCTGATGGCTCAGTTACTGTTCGAAAAAGACCCAGAGTTTTCCCTTGCCACCATTTTTCCAAGGTACATACTGGACAGATGGCGACATAGCTTTCAATGTCTTTTTTGAGGGATGGCCACCAAATTTGCCTCTTGACTAAATGCAATGTTTTCACAAAGTCAAAATGTCCTGCTGTTTTTGAATCACGACAACTCCTCAAAACCATGACTTTCTGGAACATAGAGCTTTGCCCCCACCCAGGCTAGCCTATCTTGGATTAAGCAGACATTGCTGTGAATCTGGAACCATTTATCTTCCTTTAGGGCAGCTTTAAGGGCAGAGGTCACGCTCTTGGATATTGGATTTTTTTCTCTCCCCTGGGCTCGGGTGGTCACTTGAGCTGCCAGCTGATGGGCCTGGAGCACTGATTTGATTATTTCTGCTTTGGAGCAATTGTACTATGGCATACGTGACAGTGTGTCTGCCAGAAAATTCTTCCCTCCTGGGAAATAGCACAGGGAGAAGTCAATGCGGTTAAAGTACTGTGCCCATTGTGCTTGTTTAGGAGAGAAGTTTGTAATGGGGAGAGCTATATGGGCAAATGAAGAAATGAATTGCTGGTAAAAATTTGCAAATCCTAGGAAGCTTTGCAGTTGCTTCCTAGTTCAGGGTGGCGCCCAATCCAGTACAGCTCTGACTTTTACAGGGTACATCTCAATCCCTTCATGTGAAATGTGATAGCCTAGGTCAGGGGTAGGCAACCTTGGCTCTTTTATGACTTGTGGACTTCAACTCCCAGAATTCCTGAGCCAGCCATGCTGAGGGGAAAGGGAGAGGTTTCCAAGCTGAGCCATGCTGGCTCAGAAATTCTGGGAGTTGAAGTCCACGAGTCATAAAAGAGCCAAGGTTGCCTACCCCTGGCCTAGGTAGTCTATTTTACTTTGGTGGAACTCGCATTCAGAAAGTTTGGTGTACAGCTTGGCAGCTTGTTTTTGGAGGACTAGTTTCACATGTTCTGCCTTGGTTTCAGTATAGATTAAAATGTCCAAATACACAAGCACCTTGTACAGATGCTCATGCAGGACCTCATTAATCAATTGCATAACACAGGTGCCCCCACCTGCAGTCCAAAAGGGAGTACTTTGAATTGGAAACAACCCAGCAGGCAATTGAAAGTAGTTTTCCATTCATCCCCCTCTCTGATCCTCACGCGGTAATATGCCTCCTGCTGGTCCAGTTTAGTAAAGATTTTGCCATTGGTGAGGTAGGCCACATGTCTTTCATCAGAGGTAGGGGGTAAACATTCTCTACACATACGATGTTTAACTCTATAATGCACAGATAGACAAAGAGTCTATACTTCTTTTTTTTCCCGGAACAAGATTGGGGCCGCAACCCAGGGTCATGCTGGCTGAATGAAGCCTCGGGCCAGGTTCTTATCAATGAACAACCAGAGTTTTTCCAGTTTTCTGAGGGTCATTGAGTATAGTTTTGGCTTTGGCAATTTGGCACAGGGCAGGATTTCTATAGCACAATCAGTAGGTCTATGGGAGGGAAATTCATCCAAGCATCTTTTGCTAAACACCTGTCAGAGATCTCGATACTCCTTGGGGATGACAGGAAGGTCCTTCCCCTGCATGACAGCCGCTATTTCATGCTTCAGGGTAGTCACCTTTCTAGGTTTCTCTTAGGTTTGGGAGGAGTGGTTTATCAGAAACTTTAGCAGTCCTTTCCTCCAGTTCACATAAGGGTTCCACTTTTTTTAGCTAGGCAAGCCCTAGGACTAGTGGTTTTTCCATTCCGGGTGCTACTGTGAAGCTCATGACTTCTGAATGTACACCCATCTGCATTCCTATGGGTTCATTGGCAAACGTTGCTGGGATGCCCCTCCGTAACAGAATCATCCAGCTGTTAAAATGACATTGCAACTTTTAACTGCCTCAGTCGGATTCTCAGTTTCTCAACCAGTGCTGGATTTACTAAGCATCTGATGCAGCCTGAATCTAATAGAGCTCTGAGACTAGCTTTCAACCCAGACCCAGGGAAACAGTTCTATAAGAACAGTCACTGGCATGACCGGGTCACTTACCAGAAGATCAGACTCAGTATCCTTTAACCTTTGGTCGTCCTCTGGTGGGGTCAAAGTTTCCTCAGCTATTTTTGGTGATGGGATGAACTCCACAACCTCCACTCCTTTTAGCGCCATCTCTTTGGCTCGTGGTTGCACTTTAGTGGGCTTCCCTGTAGGGTTTGGGCTGGTCTTGGCTGGATGGCTGGTTTTGCATTCTGCTACTCAATGCCCACTTGGTCACATTTGAAGCAGGCGGTAGATCTGGCTTGCGAAGTTTGGGGTTTAGCCATTTCTTCTCTGGAGGGGATTTCTTCCACGAGCTTGCTGTGCTGTACTTGTTTCGGGCTTGGTCAATTTCTATTTCCTCAGCAAGCCTGCACCAGTTGTGCAAGGTCACAGGGGCCTGTCTTGCCACACAAACATTCAGCCCATCTTTAAAACAGCTAATGAGGATGTCTTCTGGCCAGTCAAGTTGGCATGCCAGGTCTTTGGTGTACTCTGCTACAGCTCTGTGCCCTTGCTTTATAGTTTTAATGCAGTCTCTGGCTTTTTGGTCAGCGAGAGGATCCTCAAATCAGCAGCGGAGCGCGGTCATAAAACAATTGAAGTTCGTCAGCTCAGCGTTCGCATTGTGGAGAGTCACCATCCAGCAAGTAGCTGCTCCTTCCAGTGCCAACATGACACACCGCACCTTGGCACCTTTGGTAGGGATGTCTGGCCTGTACTCCTACATGTAAGTTAGAATGTGGGCCAGGAAAAATCCCAGTTGTTGAGAGTCCCCATCAAACTTCACACCCAGCGGTAGGACTTTCTTCATGGGCTTGTGGTTCCAGCAACCCCCAGTGCTGTGGTTCTGATAGGCCTCTCGGCATTGCTTCCATAGTTGCAGTGCCCTGGCTGGGGTTGCTGAGACTCCCGCCGTGGTGTCTAATGGTGAGGCTCTCCTGCCATCCTCCTCAAAGGCCATCCTGGCTTGGGTCTTGCGTGCCTTGAGGCTCTGGAATGCTTCCATCATGGAGCGCATGGCTTGCTTCATGAGGAAGTTGGCGTGATTGACTTCACCATTTTCTTTCTGTTCATCTCCGAGCTCTTCCAGCTCCACTTGCCATTTGCGTCATCGGCTGCCTCAGGTGAGAGTTACTCCTTTAGTTCTCCCTTCCCAATCATCTTTCTTCCTGACACCAATGGACCATCTGGTCTCCCAGGCTGGCGACCTCCATCCATCTGGAAAGATCCGTTCTGGGGTTAGCCTTGGTAGAGGCTTCGCCCCAGCACTCAGCTTCCTTTTGGTCACTTCCTTGTGCAGACATTCCTTGCATGGTCTCCAAAGTAGAGATGGGTGCCTCTCCAGGTTGGCGACTATTGCAGATTCCGCTTAATGTAAGGACCTGCCTCAATTGGCCCTCTTAGGAAGGTACAACTCTTGACGCCATGTGGTTAATCAAAGTCAAGCAGAATCTACATTCCGGTGCAAAGCACCAAGTTATTCTTCCCACTTTGAAACCGAACCCTCCTGACCACCAGTCCTACAAGGTTGTTTTGAGAACGCAAGGTTGTTTTGAGAATGCTGAGGTACAGGATAGATAACGGGTCATCCTCAGGATGCAGCAACCTTGGAGTCAGGCTGGAACCAGCTGGGAAGAAATCCATTCCGTCTCCGAAGATGGAGACATGCAAACAATGTTCCCAGGAGTATCCTCCTCCCCCGTCCACCAGAATGGCAGGGTACCCAAAAAGGGGACCTGGCAATTTCCCAGTTGAAACTATGGTTAAGTCTGACCATGTATTTTGAAATTAAAGAGCTTTCATTATGTCTTCTGATTGCTATATGATTTCATGGATGTGTTCTGCTAGTCTTCTGGCTGTTTGTTCTATGTAGTGGCTGTTGCAGTCTTTTATACTGTATGTTGTGGATGACTCCTGTTTTTTCTTCTGGGCTGCTGAGTCAACAGACTATTATAACCACATGGCATCAGCATAGCACACAAACCACAAACCAACTAAAGTCCACCAAAACATCCTAAGTAAACCAAAAGATCCAACAACCCCAGAACAATACAGAGGAGTCGTTATCTTTAAAACCATATATGGAAACAACACTGGGATACATTATGAAATGCTTTTCCAGAATTGAATCTTCCTGTCTGGTCTGGTCATCTAGAGAGGACCTGCTGAAACAGTCTCCCCTTCTCAAGAAGTACAGGGATCTGAATAAAACAATAGACATTACTCCACTTTGTAGAACAAAGTATGCGAGGCTCCCATCTTATTTACTTTCTGCCAACAAGTTAAATCTGGATCATTCCAGCACACCTTATCCTTGGCTGATTGGGCGACAGTACTTTCCTTGGGTTTTGAGTTTAATTTTATTATTTTCCTTGGCATTTGTTTATGCTCCCAAGAGTCTTTCAAGATTGGGGACAGTTATAATCAAAGTCAAGTGTAGAGTAGAGTAAAGTAGAGTAGAGGTCCCCAACCCCTGGTTTGTGGCCCGCTAGCTGTCCATGGCCCATTGGAAACCAGCAGGTGAGCATGCAGAGCTCCATTTGCGCATGTGTGGGATTAGGTTGCGTGCGTGAAACCATTCCCCACTGCCCACTGCTGCCGTGGCTCGTCTACTGAGTGACAAAGGTTGGGGACCACTGGAGTAGAGAATAGCTCCCTCCCTTAATCACTTTTTCAGTTTAACATAGTTATTCCACTCTTTCAGATACCTGTTATTGCCCTTGTGGGGAATGATGCCTGCTGGACTCAAATTTCCAGGGAGCAAGTGCCCTTGTTGGGTAGCAATGTAGCCTGCGCTCTGGATTACTTAGGTGAGTTAATAGCCTGCATAATCTCATGTTCTTATGTTACCTAGAAATACAGGTGGTATGAAGGCAAAAGAGCCTGGGCTCTCAGGGAGGACCAGCAAAAGAGCATTTAGTTCAGCCTCTTGGCTTGCAACAAATTCTGCTTCTGTCCCAAATTTCTGATGTGATTTCAAATGGAACTGATCCCTACTAAGTACATCTGTTGGATTAAAACTAGAATGAACACCAGGATCTCAGACTCCCAGGCTGGCTTTATACCATGTATTTTGTTCAAGTTGATAAAAGTCTCTAAGCACCTACAAAGATAAGCTTCTGTTTTCATCCTATAATATAGAGAGTATGTGTATCCTTCTTGTCTGGAGTATTTACAGATAAATAATTTGTATTATTTATAATTTGCAAATAATATTTATAAAGCTTATTTATTCAATAAAAACTGAATCTGATGCAGATAATCCTTGCTTAGCAACCAAAATTGAGACCAGCAGTTCTGTTGCTAAATGTTGCAGTCATTAAGTGGAAGATCACATGAACTTAATGGGCTTATGATGTCACTTTCCATTGGGTTGTTAAGCAAAAATATTATGTGACCATAACATACAATTTTACTTCCGTGGTCTCTGTTAGCTCTGCTTGTTGCAAGCTGGTTGGGATGCAAGTGAATAGCAATCATGTGACCGTGGGTGGCTGCAGCAGTTGTAAATGTGTACCAGTTGCAAAGCACGTGCATGAAAATCACATGACCACAAGCCACTGTGATGGGTTGTAAATATGAGGATTGGTCTCAAAGCTATGTTTTATATCATGGAAACTTTGAAGTATTAAGGCAGCCAATAAGTGAGGACTACCTGTATCCAGCTTCCTCACCCTCCCGTGTATCATGTATTTTATCTTTTTTAAACAAAGCATGCACAATTCCTTTCTTCATCCTTTTCTTTATACAAGGCTTAAACCCTCTAATAAAAGTTAGAAGTTAAGACCAGGGCTTTTCAACCAGTGGTATGGGTACCACCTGTGGTACATTGGCACCTGGCAGGTGGTACGCGACCATCCTAGAAAAGTGGTAGCTGGGGAGGGGAATGAGCTGAACCAGTGGCAGCACCACACAAGTCTGAGTGAGAGATGCTGGAGCTGCAAGGCTGTCAGGGCTCAGTGGAAGCGCCAGGATCAGCTCCAGGCTCCAGCTGGAGCGCGGCGCTGATCCTGGCGCTTCTGATGAGCCCAGAAGAAGCGCCAATCAGCTGGAATGTTGCAGCATCTCCAGGGTCTTGTGATTTACATTCAGATGCTTGGCAACTGATTCATATTTATGACAGTCACAGTGTCCCAGGGTCATGTGAAGTGACCAAAACCTGCTGCAACCACCCAGCAGACGGGGGGGAATACAAACGAAACACCCCCCACCCCACCCCCGCTGCCAATCCTCAACAGAAATGCTCACAACAATGAAAACCTCAGATAGGAGGAAGAGCACCGCCAGGTGGGCAGGCAGGTGTCTTGCTCGGCTGTGGCTTGGGGGGCACTTTTTTCAGTGCCATTGTAACTTCGAACAGTCACTAAGCGAACTGTTGTAAGGTGAGGACTACCTGTACTTTATCACTTTTTTCCTTTTTTTTTTTTTTTGGTCATCAAGTTTTTGACACTTTGCTAGGCGACTGGTGGTACTCGGATATTGCCATATCCTAAAAGTGGTACAATGGGTGAAAAGGTTAAAAAGCCCTCGTTAAGACGGTATGGTGGATAGATACTTAAAGATGACCTTGCAGTAGCAAAGCTTGTCGGGGAGAGGGGTGTTGCCAACTTGGTTCCCAATCTAAATTCTTTAGAGAGAAGGTTCCCTGTAGGATTTGCATAAAGCATGCTTTCTCCCATGTTGATGAGTGATGATTTTTTCTTTGCAGATTATCATGTGGTGGCGGACGGTTTAGGAGGGAAAGGTTTGCTGCTCACACGCAAGAATGAGGACCAAATGGATGACATCATCCGGATAGCACAATCCAAATGCAGGAGTGGACAGCCCATCCTTCTCAATGCATTGATTGGGAAAACAACCTTCCGTGAAGGCTCCATTGCTATGTAGACTGTGGCTGTGGCTGCAGTACCTGAGAGTTACATGTAACAGGCTCTGGCTGTGTTGAATTGTCATTAAGCTAGGGGTTGGGTCACCCTGAGAGCCAGAATTGCTAGCCATTGTTAATTCTTGCTAAGCTTTTTTATATATATATAAGAAATTTTATTGGATTTTTCATTTTTACATCAAAGTGCTTGAGAAACAACATGGTGATGGGGATATCAATTGTTCAAAGACAAAGTCATACATATATAGCTCAGTTTAGTTCATTAGAAGTTCCCTCTCTGTTTCCCACATATAATATTACATATTAAGATTAATACATTTCTAAACAGAGTTCAATCAATCAAATTAGTCATCAATCACATTTCAGTTATAAAAATGCAAACTGTTTTTAAGCTTTACTAATTTACAATTACCATATTCCAATTAAGGTTAAATAAACATATTATTGACACTTCGGGTGTCCCTCATTTCCCTTTTCCCTAACATAATAATTCTAAGATAAATATATTATTCCAACAACAACATTCTTATGTTTTTCACATATAACCTATTTATTAATCTAATAAATCATTTATTAATACTATTTCTTCTTTTGTCACAATATCTCTTCTTCTTCCTCTATTACAAAATAATTATCTTAAATGAAACAAAAATATCAGTCCAAAAAGTACATTTCTATCTATTTTGAATATATATTCTATCAATCAACCTGTATCTATAAAAAATGTTTTTAACCCCATAAATGAAATTTACCCCTCCAAATACTTATCATCTCTAATACAAGGTATTATTATGGGAAGTATCCTTTTAGAAAATTGACGTACTTCATTTATTATTAGATCAGTCAAAATCTCTAAAGCCTTTTTAACCCATTAAGTGAAATTTTAAACTGCATTTTTAAACCTAACTCTAGCTTTCTTTCTGTGCCAAACTGGTTTCCATAGTGAGGCTTCTACATCGTCAAACCTCAACATTTGAATAAAAGTATTTCTCGATACTTCAGACTGGTCAAGGTTCTCTTCCCTTTCTTCCAATGTCATCTGAATGGTGTAATCAGTTTTATTCCATGTTGTAATTGCTAGTTGATTGTCTACGTTATCACAATTTTCAGTGGCTTGTACCTGGATGTCAAACTCTGTTGTTTTTGGTGGTTCAATTAACTCAGTTAAAGTTATTCTTTGATCATCAAAGTTCTCCATAGATTGTATATAGGGTTATGTAAAATTTGCTCAGTAGTTTCCATGATTTCTCCCAGTGTAAGTTCATAATTGAGTTGTAAGTGTAATTCCTCTGTCTCTTTAAGTTGTATGTCTCGTTGAATAGAGGCATCTTTGGGGTTACTCTGTTCTTCCTCTGTTATTCTTTAGTCTATAGCTTGATCCATTTTTTGAGAGTCAGTTTGTGGTTCTGTAGTATCATCTTTGATTTTTCTCCAAGATTTCATATAAGTTTTCATATAGTCTGTAGTTTCCAAGATTTTTTCCAATATAAGTTCATAATCGAGCTGTGGGTAAGATTCCTCCATTTCAGTGGTAAAATAGTGTTTTGATCTTTTGATGGAGGCTGTATTTAGCAAAGATCAACAAATATCCAGCTCCAAAATTCTAGTAAGCAGATTCACCACCCAGCTGTTCCAAATCCTTTATCTTTTCCCTTTTGTTATCATTTGAAAGTCAAATCCATCTTCAAATAGCAAAAGGAAATACAATTGCAATGACACTTTTCACTACAAAATGTCTTCAGTAGACTGTAAAATCTTTTTTCCAAGTTGGTAAAATTTTATCTTTTTAGAGAAATAGAAAGAGAAAAAACAGATATCTCCAACATTAAAAATAGAATAATAATGTTTCTTTTTTTTCCTTTTTTTTCCAGGGTATCCAAAAAAGGTTAAATAGTCAATAAAAAATTAGCTATTTTATTTCTTTTAAGCTCTTTTTCCCAGGTAGACAGACACCGCTCTCTTAGGTCAGGGAAGTAGTCAAAAACTTTTTACAGGCAAGTAGTCAGGACAAAAGAGAGAGAGGAAAGGTCTCATCCGGATTCACCACAGTGGTTCTTTATGCTTAGCTGATCTTCTGACTTTTGGCTGGTGCGGCTGGGTGATCGGCCATTTTACTGGCCGATCTTCTTCTCCGTCGGCCCTACGGAGCTAGCTTGGACTGCGGAGGGAGCTGCCGCCCCTCCGTAGCCGAACAGGAGCCTCCTTGACGATAGTCGCCCCTCCAGGGCAACTTTTCGACCCGATTAGGGGTCTACTGGCAGAGGGACGGCAGCCGGCGAAGAGACGAATCTCTGTGTGACTGAACGCGCCATGATCTGGAACCGGAAGTCAATTCTTGCTAAGCTTTCAAGCCTTATGCCAATGCCTATTATTTCTGTTTCGCTTTGCTTCTGTTTTTGTTGGTAGATGTCACTTTAATTTGTTAACATGAACGTTTACCCACTATAGAAGAATGGTCACTTAAAGTCTCGAACTTAGCAGAAATGGCCAAGATTTCCGCTTATGTGAAGGATTATTCACAAGAAAGATATATTTTGGTTTGGAGAAGATGGATAGATTATATTGAGTGTAAATATGGGACCAAAAATTATCATTTGGTTTTTGAGTGAATTTTAGAGTATTATTGTTGTATAAAGGTTAGAATAGTTTACTTAGTACTATTTTTAATTATTAAAGTGATGTTATTATTATCTATACAATAATTGTTATTATTGTTTTTAATAACTGTATATTTGTTTAAAAGAGAGTTAAAGGAGGTTATAGATATGTTATTTTAATAGTTGATTAATGTTAGTTAGAGTATGATTATTTTATTGTTAACCCTGTGATTGGCACTGGGAAGTGAGGGGGGAGGGAGGGGGGAGTGGAAGGGTGGGTTGGGGAAGGGGGGATTTATATTGTAAAATTTTATAAAATTTTCAATAAAAAAAATGATACAAATGTATGACTATATTATACTATATTAAACTATACTATTAAGTTGTAGCTTAAAATATGTCAAATTACTTTTTAAAGTTTACCTGGAAAAAATTAAATGTAATTGTCAAAGCAACTTAAATGAACAAAATCAATGTTTTATTTTCTCCTTTGGATTATTAATTAAATCTGTGTGAGTAAATATATTTATAATCTTTGAATGTTTTTTAAAAATGTGTAACAATTGTAGTTTGACAAAAGTTGAAAGTGATTTTATTAGACGTTTCCATTTATATATGTTTTGCATATTTTGAACTTTTGTAGCTGTTAATTTCCAAAGTATTTTGACAACTTGGTCAATTGATATAATTTAATATATAACTTGATACATATTCATAGTTTATCCAGATTCTATTAATGATTTATATATTTTATAATGTGCTTTAAGGAATTTATTCAATACAAATCGAACATCAAATAAAATCCAATATAACTTCTTTACTTATTTTTCTATAGAGGTATACTGTCTCAGTATAGATAATTTGCTCTGAAATGGACATTGAAATAAATCTACACAGAACCACATCTTCCAGATTTAGTGGAACTTAATCCCAAGTGGTTCTTGATTGAATTGCAGTAAATGTTTGTCAAGCTTTTGAATATAATTAAGATATAAAATTAACATTTTTACTTTTGTGTGTCGTGTTTCTATTGCTGTCACATAGAGGCTCCAGAGGCATTCCAGGTTAGAATTCTGATTTCTGATTCTAGTCTTCCATAAACAGATGACCTCTTGATGGAAATATATATATGAAAATGTTTCAGAGGACTACTATTCACTGTAGTTTTTGTTATTTATGAACATTATTTTATTTCTCACTAAAATACGAATATTGCTGTTATAAAGGTCAGTAAGTTGATCATCCTGTGGCAAAATATTAGGAAAAAAATAATTGTTAGAGTGCCTGGAGTGTACAAGTCCCATCCCAATACATGTTTTATTATGATTTCCTTGATGTTGGTGATTGGAGCTCCATGGACAATCACATAGCACAGACCTGTTCTGCATGTATGTTCAGGCCATGCTGTGAGGACAGTGCAGTTTAAACTTATGTTATTTCCTTATCAGCTGAGAAAAAAAGCTGCTTAGCAAAGCAGCTTTCTGGATGAGCTTCATGCCTCTTGCCCACTTTTTTGGGAGGGGAGTCTGCATTAGTTTCAAATATAATTCTTTGAAGTTATGTGAGTGAATGGGCTCAGCATGCCAATTCTCATCACTCAGTATTTTTGGTCAGAATTGCTGGCTATTGGAATCTTCATGTCACCTCTAGCAATCATGATGAAAACTGCTCTTCCAATGCAGTGATTCTTCCCGTTGTCCAGGCAATAGGAAGAGATCAGTGGACCACATGAGATGGCCAAGGACCATAGCTGTTCACATGTCTTAAAGCTGAATTCTTTTAGCAAATATGGAGTTGAATTCATAAAGTGAAGGTTTTTTTTATTTCGCTTCCCTTGATTGGGATAACAGCTGGTTTAGCTAGGCTTATGGATATCTCATTAAGTTATTCCACATATTGCCTATGTTCATGCCTTGTGCTAGGGCAAAAATGTATTTTACTTGGTTTTGTCTTAGTGTGTTTCATACAGTAAATCAGAGGTCCCCAACCTTTTTGGCACCAGGGATCGGTTTCTAAGAAGACAATTTTTCCATGGACTGGGGGGAGGGGGGAGGTTTCAGGATGATTTAAGTGCATTAGATTTATTCTAAATTTTTTAAATAAACAAATAAATAATGCACTTTATTTCTATTATTATTACATTGTATTAGATTAGACCAGTGACTTTCTGCTTCTCAGAAAGTGGGAAGGAAAAGAGACAATCCTAAACTCAGTCTTCCAGCAAAACAAACCAAAGAACCAGCATGGAGAGAGAGAGAGAGAGAGAACCCTCACAAACACATACCTTAGGGGGGAATCCCCCTCCAACGAGGTTTTGGGGAAGCCCCCAGTTGCAAGCTGGGTGTCAGTTCTGACAGACAGAGACAAATAAAGCAGAACTCTGAGGCTTGCAATTCCTCAAAGAACATGTTTATTGATACAAAGTATTGGCACTTCAAAAGTGAAACCAAGTCTGAAGGGATGCATAACAATTCCCCAATACAAAGTTAAAAAATCCCACCCCTAAGGCTATGCAAGCAACTACCTTTCCCCATACAGGTTGTTGGCAGGCTTTTCATGAAACGCCCAATTCGCAGTTTTGGGAGCAGCCGATGACCTTGGTTCCCATGAGAGAAAGTCCAAAAGAGAAAGTCTGTTTTGTCTAGCGCAACGCTGGCAACCCCCTCCTTCTATGTTATGTGTCAACTAGAAATGAGAAAG